AACCATTGTACTCAATTAATGAGGAAAGCAAATGCTCCTTTTTCTCTGACTTTGTCAAAGTAAACAGCAATAACCAAGGGACTCTTTTCAAAGCTATCAAAGGATTGCTAGTGGAAAATAATGCAATACGTTTCCCCAGACGTAATGAAACAGCTCTCGTTAACGAACTTGGCAAATATTTTGTTCAGAAAATCTCTAGCATCCACTCCGAGATCAATAACGAGATTTCTTCAAATAATGATGGTCACGTAGATCCCCCAAGTGATGACAATGAGGAGTATCCGGGTGATGTATCGCATTTTGATGCGTTTGAGCTCTTATCTGAGGATGACATCAGAAAGCTTGTTGTGGATTCACACAAAAAATCCTGTTACCTTGATCCAGTGCCAACAGATTTCTTGGTGAAATGTCTGGATGTGTTACTTCCTGCGATTACAAAAATAATCAATATTTCACTTGGAACAGGGTACTTTCCTAGAGACTGGAAGGAAGTTATCATCATTCTCCCTACATTAAAAAAGTCTGGGTTGGAGTCCGCTTTTGAAAATCTTCGTCCCATCAGTAATTTAGCACATATTTCGAAGCTTATTGAACGAGCAGTATATAATCAAACGCACGATCATATTCTTCGATGTGGCTTTTATCCAGTTTTGCAATCAGCTTACCGGCGGTATCATTCCATAGAGACTGCGTTACTCAAAGTACTCAATGATATTTTGTTAAGCATGAAAAGTTAACGTGTCACTCTCTTGGTTCTTCTGGACTTAAGTTCCGCTTTTGATACATTTGATCATGGAATTTTGCTGGAACGGTTAAGGTTGAAATTTGGAATACGTGGAAAAGTTCTCAGTTGGTTTTCTTCCCATTTGTCTGGCCGAAGTCAACGTGTGACGCTAAATGGTACCATTTCTGATCAATCTGATTTGAACTTTGGTGTCCCGCAGGGTTCGTATTTGGGGCCTCTTCTTTTTATATTATATGCCTCCAAACTGTTCGATATTATTAACAATCACTCGCCAGATTCACATGGTTTTGCTGATGACACTCAGCTGTATGTGTCATTCAAACCTGACTACCCATGCGATCAATGTGAAGCGATCTCGGTAATGGAAAGCTGTGTCAACGATCTGCGGAAATGGATAATTCAAGATAAATTGAAACTAAATGACGGTAAAACTGAACTGCTAATAATTGGATCCAAGCAGCAACTGCAAAAACTTAACCCATGCCATCTAGGTGTCGGGAATGCTAATGTCCTTCCTGTACCAATAGCTCGTGATCTAAGAGTTTGACTCGATTCAAATTTATCAATGTCATGTCATATAACAAAGACCGGTGGTGCTGCATTCTATTGGCTTCACAACATCAAACGCATCAGCAAGTTTTTATCTCGGGAAAATCTGTTGACTGTTATACATGTCGACTGCATGGATTATGTAATGGTCTCCCGTATGGTTTACCTAATACTGAATTGATTAAGTTACAGAAAGTTTAAAACGCCGCTGCCGGATTAGTGACTTCAACATGAACTACGATCACGTTACGCCTATCTTACGTGAACTACGCTGGTTACCTATGAAGTTCAGGATCCATTTTAAACAGCTATTGCTTACTGAAAAAAGGCTCCAAAGTACATGGTAGATCTACTTGTTGTCAAAGTGGAAGGAAACTACCTTTTACGCTCTAATGATAGCATAATGCTAGAGTTTCTTAAGGGTAAATTTTTACGGTCATTTGGCGACCGATCTTTCACTGTCGCAGCTCCGAAACTTGAGAATGAACTTCCGAAAGAAATTCGTGACATTTCATCAATAAGTGTTTTCAAAACTTGTCTTAAGACTCATCTTTTTAAACTAGCTTTTAACATTTAGTTTATATTAAAGTCAACATTTTATTACACTTTTAAGTGATGTTTACCATATTGAACATTAGTTATATTGTAATACAAAGCTTTTGATGATTATATGTAAAAAGCGCTATATAAATTATTAAATTATTATTATTATTATAAAGTTGCATATTTCGCAGCTGTTCCTGGTTAGGTTTATAATAAATGTAGATAAATTTCCACTCGATAATTTCCATCTACAAGACTCTTCAACAGTGGTTAAATTTTACATTAAATCGAAGCTTATATTGCATAATAACATACCTACAATCAGTGACAAAACACTTTGGACAAAATAGCAAAAGAGCGCACATTTACAACATAATTGACCCCCCGCACCCCCCATTCAATGTTGTGTGTGGAAATACCGTCGCAAAATGTTCCTTGCCAGCCACCCAACATTGCTTAGGGTGGGTGGGGGAGGGAGGGATAGTGGTTTTATGCTGAACAGTATTTGGAAAGGCGCAGTAATGTCTATATTATATCACTGTCCATGCAAAAACCTTTTGTCACTGATTGTATGCAACATGTATATTTGGGAAATTGATAACTACCTCATGTTAATATAGTTGTTTTGCTAGCAAAGCGAGGAGTTTCTGCACGCCTGTATTTCTAGCACAATAAATTGATCCTACACTGCTATACATACCTCATGCTGTAGGTTATCATTAAGCATTTCTTTTACTCGACGTACAACATATTCTGGCACATGATCCCGGGCAGCCACAGGAATTATCTGCGTCTTACACGAAATAAGAACCTGTAAAAAGTAGCATAAAGGTCTGTCTAAACAATTAGTCGTTTTCAATTGTCATTCTAGTGTATGAAAATGTCAGATGTGACGTCAAGCGAAAAGTGCTTGCAACTGACTATCGCAATATTTTCACTGCTTTCCAGTTAAGCTTTTTTCTATGTACTTATATATACGCACGGAAAAGTTTAAATTTTCTAACTTGTAAAGCCCGTACAGACCGCTAACGGGATTCGATAACGCGACGCGAATTTTCAGTTTTAAAAACAATTAAAATACTCATTAATAATTCATAAACCTTGTGGCAAATCATGTCAGTCATAATATGTCACGTGGAGTGACTTTATATCTGATAAAACACATGTGGCATTATATAATTCTTCATCCTAATTAGCATGATTATATAATGGTTCATCCTAATTAGTATTCTTTTTAGTCGTATTTTAAGCTATTCAAAACACTCGTTGTCGTGTTTTATCAGATATAAAACGCGAGGCGCAGCCTGATAAAACACTCCTACTCGTGTTTTAAATACTACATAAAACCTTTAACCGATAAAACCTTTACAAGATATGCACACACAATAACTAAAAGTGCTTAAGTGGTTCCAAATATTTGATTGTGTCATTGAAAAATATTAATTGTTAAGTGTCATTGAAAATTGAAAATTCACGTCGCGTTTCCCTGACGCGTCCGGTCTGTATGGGCCTTTATATTAATACTAATTACCTCAACAAAAATTAAATCTTCTTATATATTTTAATTATCAAATGACCGAAAACTATGATCGCACCACCCGGGTAATACAGTACATGCATATCGAAATCACTTGATACACCATATAAAGAATGATTCGAGCTTTCTCATTCGATATTTTGGATTTGAGGTATAAAATTATATTATATCCCCTTGTAGACTCACTTTGAAATAGGTTGATTTCAGGCTCGTATCTACGATCAAGATAAACTGAATACTTCGATACCGGCCAACTACACGTATGCCCAAATTCCACATATAACACAAATACATACCTTAGAACATTGTAACCAGTCCCCCATAACAAACAGCTTGGCTGCACATTGTTTAGGTGGGATAAGTGAATATCGAGTAAGGCAGCCACCAGTTTGAAAGACAAACATATCTTGCCGATTACAGCACACGTCTTCGATATCTATTTCGCAGGTACAAAATTTGAGTTAAAAAGTAATAACTTGAATCATTCCATTTCAAAAAAATGTGCTGGTGTTAAATTGCACCAAACTAGCTTAGTTTATTTTAGTTTCAGCCTAGGAAACCTATATAGTTCTGACGTCACCGCCTAGAGAACAAAGTTATAGATGTAAATAGTTTGTATTTTAATAGTAACGGTCATTTTGTAATTTAATAGTAAGTCATAGTAAGTCGGATGAAGAGCCATGTAAA